AACAATCCTAAATTGCATAATTCGATAATGATTCTACAATTTTAAAGTTAAATAAATAAAGGTGCATTTAAAATATTTACAATGAAATTTTGAAATAATCTCAAATACCATCTCTATCTTGATAAAAATTAAGAATAAAATAAAATAAGAACTTGTATCCAACATACCACCCATCATCAAGATGAAAAGTTAATTGATAAGGGAATGATGGATCAAAATCAAGAGTGTACTTCCTTTGAATCAATATTTGTCTGAGCTTGGGAACAAATATGAGGTCACAAGCAATAGCCCACAACAAGTACCAACATACAAAGATAAATAAAATTATCTTAAAACCAACATCATGTTGAAACACGATATACTATCAAGACAGATTTGAACAATAGAAATATCACTCAACTGACCCAAATGACATTTTACCCTTTGGAAAAATAGTACTTTTCGACATCCATCACTTCCAAAAAAAAAAAAAATATATGCAACAGTGTAATAAAACTACTATAAACAATTAAAATAAATTAAAATTAAACTGAAATACCCAATATGAAATAATAAATTAACACATACGAGCTTTCATACCTTCAAATGAGATATTTTCTCCAGCTCATGTGCCAACTTCACCATTATCAAAGAAAAAAATATTCGTGGATACACAACAGACCAATCACATATCAGTAAGAAGAAATTTCTAAAACCATACACTTGTAAAGAACTCAACTAATAGAATTTGACATGGTATAAAATTATGTAATGTTGTAATGCGCTAAAAGCATCATGCTTTTCAATCTAATCCAATCCAATTGTCATAAAAATATTATTGATGGAGTATTTTGAACCTTAAACGGGTCACATTTCTTTTTTTTTTTAACCTTTGTAGATAATGGTAACATTGGTAGAGAGCAATATATGTTATTTCGGTCTCACCAACATTGCTTGGTAAAAAAAACCTCACTTCATTATCTGCACTTAATCTGATGCTATTAAGTGAGCCCGAAGAATTAGTCTTGATCTTCCCGAATATTACCGGAAATAGCACCATAAATCCTCAGCAAAAATTGTTGCAAGAACAGGACAGTACATGGCTTGTGGCAAAAATCAAGATCTATAACGCCAGAGTATATAGGATTTCCTTTATCCCTTTTGCAAAAATCGCAAGTATATTTCTTTTTAATTTTACTTCGTTGAGAGGAAAAAACAAATGAAAGCACAAGCTAGAATGTCAGAAAACCCTCAGCTTGAACCTCCCCATACTATATCCATACCTGAAAAACCACTGCTCACCAAAAAATAAAAAATAACAAAATGAATAATAAATTTCTCAATTCGGCTAGAAAAAAACAATCCCAATACAGCTCTCCCTTAATAATAGTCAAAGCATCCGATGGAAGCAATATAATGATCTCAATCCTCATCCAACATTCTTGCACTTGAAAAATAATAAGGCAAAAAGTCAAATTAAGAGTAATTCATCAATCCATCTTTACTTTTAGGATATGTACGCACAAAAATTATTTAGTAAGTAAAGTAAAAACAACCTAAGTGATAATAAGCCGTGGGTAAATGGGGATTGTTTCTGGATAAATATTTAGTCCTTATTATTTAAGTTGAAGTTATCTTTACCCCTAACAAAACAAACATTGTGGAAGTACAAAATATAAATAAAGAGAGTGCGTTAAATAACATATTACGTGATTAAAAGGATAAGAGAGAGAATAGAGTGCACCAGAGTTGGAATTGGAATTGAAATTAAAAGTAGAATTGGAAATTGAAGACCCAACAGGATCACCCGTGCTTGATGAACTCATACTATGTTCAGGCAATTTCATTTAAAAAAGTCAATGAGCTCACTGCATCATCATAGAATAACACAAAAATGGGGGAGAACTTTAAAGTAGAAGAAAGAATTAACTTTTTCAAAGAGAAACCTAGAGTATATGTGTATTTCAAACACTACAATTTCAACAATAAAGTAAAGATAATACTATCAAATATGCAAATGACTCATAATTTTGCAGCATTTCCAGATTGCAACTAAAATACAGTAACAATCAGCTAAGATATATAAATATTATATCTTATAAATACGAGTATAGTACGGCTGCCACTTGAATAGTCATTTTTACCCCTCATTTTCTTTATATTTCCTCTTTATGTCTTCCCTCTTACTACAAAAACATCTCTCAATCTATTTCTCTTTCCATCCTCCCTCTCTCTCGACGAAAACCCTTCACATTCCATATCCTCCGTTTAATCGTAGTCCGTCTTAGCACCATCTACCAACATCGCCGGAGTCAATCGGTACTACCCGCATCCATTGCCTTCGACTCTTTTTTATTTTTTCATTCTTTTCCTAGAACCCTACTCAAATCGACTACTACACATCTTGCGATTCGCCGTTTGCCTTTCCCGTCAGAAGTTAAAGAGAACGACTGTGTAGATTCCGTTGCCCAAAGAGGAGGAAGTGGGGAAGGTTTTTTACAAAGTCGCCGGTATAACCTCCTTCAACGAGCTCTGCGTAGCACGAAACGGCAATGGAAGGTGAGGGGTTTGATCCTCAAAAGAGTTTTTCCAAGTTTGTTGTACCTTGATAACCTTCCAACCGTCTTCCCTTTTGCTCTTGGTGCTTGCATCCTCTATTTTATTATTATTATTATTTTTTTTTTGATTTAATTTTTCTGTGTTTTTCCTAAGGGTGTATGTGTCTGCGCCTTTTGTTGGTTATTCACGAAGGTGTTTTTGGTTATTGAAGTTTTAATGAAATTAGAAGACATGATGATTTTGTGCTAGGTTACATAAAGTCGCAAAGATTTGTCATATATATATTTTAAAACCAATTGTTACTGCATTTTTGTTGCAATCTGGCTGCAAATTTTGTGAGCCATTTGCATATTTGATAGTATTATATCTACTTTATTATTGAAATAGTAGGTTGTGTTCTTTTTGGGTTTTAGCACGGGTTTTTTTTTTTCACTGTTCACGTTATTTTTTCATGAAAAAATATCACATGAAATAATAATATATATTTTTTAATATTATACTACAAATTTATTTTACATTCAAAATATCACATCAAACCTCATGTTTATATCAAATCAAACAACTATTCAACTTCAACTTTTTGCTATTCAAAAAATTTAAATCCAAACCCGCAGTGTTTGAAAAATACATATATTGTAGGATTCTCATTAAGAAAGTTAATTTTTCTTCTACTTTAATATTTGTCATATATATGGAAGTGACCGGCAGTAAGAAAATCGGTTCGAATTTTTATGAACCGGAATCTTGGTTTGAATCCAGTTATCTGACCGGCGGTTCGAAACGGGTTGGGCAAGTTCGTTGCACATTCTCTTCTTAGGCGGTCTGGCTTTGCTTCCATGTCTTCTTACTCTTCGTTTTCATCGACCTTCACTTCTCCTCGTCCTGTTTGATATCATAAATTCCTAGCCTCAAATTTGATTTGGGTCTTGCCCCGTTCATACCCAATCGACCATAGGCTTATCCAATCCAATCTAATCGACCTTATCTTCTACTTATTTTGGAAGGTGTTTGTTGCTTTATTATTTCAATTCGAAATGCGTTTGATGATTTTTATTTTTTTTTGCTTTATTGTTGGTGAGGTATACTGATTTAGGTCCGATGTTGTTTAGGTTAAATTTTGATTTATTTCTTATTGTCGTAATTGATTTCTTTTTTGCTCTGTTATGTTTGTGTTCATAGACTAATTTAATTTGTTATATTGGAAACAGTTGATGATAGTGAAGATTTCTTCGTATTGCTTGCATAAGATAAGCTGAATGTGGATTAAACTTTTAGATACAGTTTTTTTCATGTTGTTTATAGGCATTACTTACAAAACACACTTTGGAAAGAAAAGAACATTGAAAATGGGATTCACATGTTTTAAAATTGAATATAGGGTTTATGGACTCTTTGGACTCGGGTAAGTATCACTACAAAAAAACTCTTGATTTGCGAGGGAAAAATTCCCTCGCAAATCAAATTATTTCCTTCGCAAAACATGTTAGCGAGGGAAGTTGCGAAGGAATACATGTCATCGCTATACACTTGCTCGCTAATTTGAATATGAGAAAAATTCCCTCGCAAATGTTTGTGAGGAAATTTAGTGAAGCATCAATTCCTTCGCAAATATTTGCGAAGGAATTTTGCAAAGATATAGTTTTCCTTCACAAATTGATTCGAAATTTGCGATGGAGTTCATTTCATCGCAAATATCCATCGCAAATTGATTCAAAATTTGCGAGGAAGTTCATTCCTTTGCAAATATCCATTGCAAATTGATTGAAAATTTGCGAGGAAGTTCATTCCATCGCAAATATCCATCGCAAATTGATTCGAAATTTGCAAGGGAATTCATTCCTTCTCAAATATCCATCGCAAATCATTTTACAAATTATCATCACTAGCTCATTTCAAATTCCTATACTTCCAAAATAATTACAAACTAACAATATATTCATTTTAAATTCGTACACTTGTCTCAAACAAGTACAAAATAACATTATAAGAAATCATTTTAACCATCCAAATAGTAAGCACCATGTAATACAAAAAATAAACTCCATGTCCAATGCCATATGATAACATAAAATAAAGCAAACATTCTATCAATTCAAAAAACACCAAAAGTAAACGAAATATGAAGGAAACATTCCATCAATTTAGAAAATACCAAAAGTAAACGATTGTTTAACACTCATCCACATCCCTGCAAGCACTTATCTCCCATCCATAGTTTATTTATTTGACCTGCAGCAACTGCTAAAGTTAAGAATTAAGCATTGTGCACACCTCTTTATCTTACGGGATACAACCACTTTAGTTGTCTTCAAGGCCTCTGTATTGAAAAACTTTATCAAGATATAAAAAGACCAAATAACATGGGTGTGTTTACTATATGGAAAATATTGGGATTAAATAGTCCCATCTAATCCTCCATAGCAAACACACTCTTAAGTGCTACTAAAACAGTAACGAGGGACCTTTTTCCAGTGCAGGGTGGACTACGTTCTTTTATATCAGGATTAGCAGCTGGTTGTGTTTCAGATTCCAGAGAGAGCTATTTGCGATAAAGAGAGAAGTGTCACAGACAACATTGTCTTTGATGATACTAATTATAGGCATCAATGGTATAGAAAGCATAGACAACAGTCTGTAGTTTATTCTTTCTTGAAAACATTTATCAGGGTGTAAATACCGTAACAGTAGCTTGAATATTCGATGATAGTTGTTTAACTTGTTGAAGAGTTCAACTTGGGGAATGGTATTGAACCTCTTATCTGTTTGGAAATTAAATTCCTGTGAACAAAGGGGATAATACAATGTTAGTGCACCTTGTTTCAAATGAATCAACTATCTCATGTAAGATTAAACCAGAATATTTATATGCACATTACCATTTGGGTTGTGCTTTCCTTCTTACTATTTTTAAAAACTCCTACACCCCATTTGCTTGGTAAGATCTGCAATTTAAAATGTGTTTTAAGTTTGAAACATATTGAGAAGACAATTGGTGCATGCAGACATTTTAATAACCCTTACAGTGTATTTCAAAACCAACGATTCAGCAGTATTGTATAATCAACATAGAAGAACAAAAGCAAGAACATTAATGACCACTAAGATAAAAAAGACACAAAGAAAAAATTAATTTAAAAAAAGAAAAAAACCAACAACAACAACAACACATCTACTAATTTATAGCTACCATGTGACGACATTGTGCGACTAAAACTATTAAATAATTAGAGATTGCTTGGTTTAAATGCTAATAAGCAGCTGAGTCAAAATTGCTTGAAATTAAGGAGCAAAAGATGGTATTGAACCTCTTCTCTGTTTGGAAATTAAATTCCTGTGAACAAAGGGATGATACAGCGTTAGTGCACCTTGTTTCAAATGAATCAACTATCTTATGTAAGATTAAACCAGAATAAAAATTTATATGCATATTAGCATTTGGGTTGTGCTTTCCTTCTTACTATTTTTAAAAACTTCTACACCACCTTTGCTTGGTAAGATCTGCAATTGAAAATGTGTTTTAACTTTGAAACATATTGAGAAGACAATTGGTGCATTGAGACATTTTAATAACCCTTACAGTGTATTTCAAAACCAACGATTCAGTAGTATTGCATAATCAATATAGAAGAACAAAAGCAAGAACATTAATGACCACTAAGATAAAAAAGACACAAAGAGAAAATTAATTTAAAAAAAAAAACCAACAATAACAACAACGCATCTACTAATTTGTAGCTACCATGTGACGACATTGTGTGACTAACACTATTAAATAATTAAAGATTGCTTGGTTTAAATGCCGATAAGCAGCTGAGTCAAAATTGCTAGAAATTAAGGAGCAAAAGGAACGCGGTTGACATTCAACCAAAGCATCTGCATTATCAACTCCTTCACACACACACATATATATATTCTGATTTAAGGTTGATCATCTAGAACAAATATGGAATCATTTATCTGAAGTTCGAAATGCAGGATCATTGTACGACAAGGGAACATAGAGACAATAAACAATAAGACAATCTGATCAAAAAAAATAAACAATAACAAAAGTAAAGTTCTGCTCAAAGCATTCCTCAATAAGCACAAAGCAACGAAAGATGATCATTTGAAAAAAAGAACCGTAAAATCCTATACTTACCCGAGTCCAAAGAGTCCATAAACCCTATATTCAATTTTAAAACATGTGAATCCCATTTTCAATGTTTTTTTCTTTCCAAAGTGTGTTTTGTAAGTAATGGCTATAAACAACATGAAAAAAATGTATCTAAAAGTTTAATCCACGTTCAGCTTATCTTATGCAAGTAATATGAAGAAATCCTCACTATCATCAACTGTTTCCACAATGACAAATTAAATTAGTCTATGAACACAAACAGAACAGAGCAAAAAAGAAATCAATTACGACAATAAGAAATAAATCAAAATTTAACCTAAACAACATCGGACCTAAATCAGTATACCTCACCAACAATAAAGCAAAAAAAATAAAAAATCATCAAACGCGTTTCGAATTGAAATAATAAAGCAGTAAACACCTTCCAAAATAAGTAGAAGATAAGGTCGATTAGATTGGATTGGATAAGCCTATGATCGATTGGGTATGAACGGGGCAAGACCCAAATCAAATCTGAGGCTAGGAATTTATGATATCAAACAGGACGAGGAGAAATGAAGGTCAATGAAAAGGAAGAGTAAAACGACATGGAAGTAAAGCCAGACTGCCTAAGAAGAGAATGTGCAATGAACTTGCCCAACCCGTTTCGAACCACCGGTCAGATAACTGTATTCAAACCGAGATTCCGGTTCATAAAAAATCGAACCCATTTTCTTACTGCCGGCACTTCCATATATATGACAAATATTAAAGTAGAAGGAAAAATTAACTTTCTTAAAGAGAATCCTACAATATATGTATTTTTCAAACACTACGGGTTTGGATTTAAATTTTTTGAATAGCAAAAAGTTGAATTTGATTAATTGTTTAATTTAATATAAACATAAGGTTTGATGTGATATTTTGAATGTAAAATAAATTTGTAGTATAACATTAAAAATATATATATATTATTATTTCATGTGATATTTTTTGATGAAAAAAATAATGTGAACAGTGAAAAAAAAAATCGGTGCTAAAACCCAAAAAGAACACAACTTACCATTTCAATAATAAAGTAGATATAATACTATCAAATATGCAAATGGCTCACAAAATTTGCAGCATTTCCAGATTGCAACAAAAATGCAGTAACAATTGGTTTTAAAATATATATATGACAAATCTTTGCGACTTTATGTAACCTAGCACAAAATCATCATGTCTTCTAATTTCACTAAAACTTCAATAACCAAAAACACCCTCGTGAATAACCAACAAAAGGCGCAGACTCGCACACACTCTCAGGAAAAACACAAAAATTTAAATTCAGAAAATAATAATAATAATAATAAAATAAAAAGAAAATATAGGATGCAAGCACCAAGAACAAAAGGGAAGATGGTTGGAAGGTTATCAAGGTACAAGAAACTTGGAGAAACTCTTTTGAGGATCAAACCCGTTGAAGGAGGTTTTTCCGGCGACGTTGTCGAAAACCTTCCCCATTTCCTCCTCCTTGGGCAACGGAATCTACACGGTCGTTCTCTTTAACTTATGACGGGAAAGGCAAGCGGCGAATCGCAAGATGTGTAGTAGTCGATTTATGCAGGGTTCCAGGGAAAGAATGAAAAAATTAAAAAGAGTCGAAGGCAACGGACGCGGGTAGTACCGATCGACTCCGGCGATGTTGGTAGATGGTGCTAAGACGGACTACAATTAAACAGAAGATATGGAATGTGAAGAGTTTTCGTCGAGAGAGATGGAGGATAAAAAGAGAAATAGATTGAGAAATGTTTTCGCCGTAAGAGGGAAGACATAAAAAGGAAATATAAAGAAAGTGAGGGGTAAAAATGATTATTCAAGTGGCAGCCGTACTATACTCGTATTTATAAGGTATAATATATATATGGGATAAAATACTTTTATTTTTGCTTGTTCTTCAATAATCATAATATGTTTTTATATTTTATAATATATGACAATATAGATTTAGGGTTTGTTTATTATTATTATTATTATTATTATTAGTCATTTCAAATTCAATTCTACTCTATTTATGTGGATTTAATTAAAAATCATTACTACAAAAATTATATTTTGTCTCGGAAAAAGCTTCATATAGCCTAAAACAATATCTAAAAAATATATAAATAATTTTAATTTATGTGATCTCAGAAATTCTGAGCCTATACTATAAATAATGTTATTTTATTAAAAAGATTGAAAGAGTGTTCTTTTTGCCAAAAGCACATACATTTTTTTAAATAATTAATATATTATACACGTTCATTATTTTTATATTCTCTATATAATTTTCTATATTTCATATAAAAAATATCTGTTCAAATTATTTTACAAAACAAATACAAATTTATCAATTAAAAGAGTTACTTGATATAAAATAAAGGGAAAAAATAAATTTTGGTCCCAATATACCTAAAATTTATCAATTTTGGTCCCAAAATAAAAAACTCATCAATTTTGGTCCCAATATAACCAAAATTTATCAATCACAATATAAAAAACTCATCAATTTTATTCCCAATATAAACAATTTCAATCAATTTTGGTCCCATTATAAACAATTTTAATCAATTTTGGTCCCACCGTTAAAAAACTAACGGAAATTGCTCACGTGGCAATTGACCTGGAAAGTACACGGCTATGTACAATTAGACACGGCCATGTTGTTATATGACCATGTATATTTCAGTGTATAATTATACATGGCTATGTTGTTACAAGGCTATGTACAATTATACACGGCCATGTTGTTACATGGTCATATATATTTCAGTGTATAATTATACATGATCGTGTTGTTACACGGTCATGTACAATTTTACACGGCCATGTTGTTACATGACCATGTATATTTCAGTATATAATTATACATGACCATGTTGTTACACGGTCATGTATAATTCTACACGGCCGTGTACCTTTCTGTTTCATTCTAAAATTTTAATTCTTTGTTATATTTTTTAATATTTTTTTTTTGAATTTAGAATAGTTGATATAATTAAAATGGAAAAAAAATCAATAATAATCATAATATATTTAAAATATATCAATTTGAGTTCAAATATAAGTATTTATCGAGTATGTTCTTTTGGAAAATTTTGTCTAAAATTTTACTATTTAGCAAAAAAAATTTCTCTTACAAACATCCAATTAATGTATTTAAATAATAAATTAATTTTTAATACTACTGTAATATAACAAATTAAAAAATAGTTGTGTAATTGAATGTTTGTAAAAGAAAAATTTTTTATGAATAATAAAATTTTAGACAAAACATTTCAAAAGAATATATCTTATAAATTTTTATATTTGTATTAAAATTGATAAATTTTAATTATATTATAATTACTATTGATTTTGTCCATTTTAACTATATCAACTATTTTAAATTCAAAATAATTTTTTTAAATAAAAATATAACAAAAAAATAAAATTTTAAACTAAAATAGAAATGTACATGGTCGTGTATAATTGTACATGGCTGTGTAATAACATGGCCATGTATAATTATACACTGAAATATACATGGCCATGTAACAACATGGCCGTGTATAATTGTACATGGCCGTGTACTTTCCAGGTCAACTGTCACGTCACCTCCATCATGTCCACGTCAGCAATTTCCGTTAGTTTTTTAAATGTGGTACCAAAATTGATTAAAATTGTTTGTAATTGGACCAAAATTGACTGAAATTGTTTATATTGGGACTAAAATTGATGAGTTTTTTATATTGGAACCAAAATTGATGAGTTTTTTATATTGAGACCAAAATTGATAAATTTTGATTATATTTGGACCAAAATTGATTTTTTCCCTAAAATAAATAACAAATATAAAATACTCTCTTCATTCTCCGTCCGCCTTTAAGAGTCACATTTATCTTTTGCGTCCTTATATTTAACATTAATAGAAGTATTTTTGCAATTTTTTATTAATTTATATTACGTTCTAATATAATAATTAATATTTAAATATCAACACACAAAAATTAAATGAGATCTTTAAAGCCGGATAGAGATAATATAATATTTCAAATATAAAATATTTTGTAAATATTACTTTTTAAACAAAAATATAAGAGGTTGATTACTGTGTTGACTGACTTAAATTAGTATTATGTTTGTGTCGCATATAAAAAATATGACATAATGTACATTTTAAAATAGCACAATACTGTCATTAATTTATACTTGTAAATATATTATATAAATATAGGGTGTGTTTGTTTGAAGGATTGGATTAGATTTATACTATTCATTCAATTTTTTTTCCCCAAAAACATCAAATCAAACATCTATTTTTCATTTTTTATATTATACTAAAAATTAATGTTACATTCAAAACATCACATCAACACCTATTTATATCACATCATATAACTATTCAAATTCAAAATTTTTACTATTCAAATCCCAACCCAAAATCCAAACCCCCAAACAAACACACCCTTATTGTCCTAGAAATCAATATTAGAGTATATTGTGTGGACTATAAGATACATGTTAGTTACGTGTTACTTTTGTATATATTACTATAAATTGTTTGTTATTGTTGGTTTAAGTAGGTATTGCGAGAGTAACATCTACCGTAAAATTGAGTCGATGATAGATTTTTTTTTTCGAAAATTAGATACGCCCCGGTAGTACTTCCAGTAGCTGACATTCTAATCCAAAAATAAAACGTTTTTTATTGGGATTGTGTATATGCCCTGATCTCGTCCATCTGCCAATTTTATTACTTGATTTAAAATTAAAATTTTAATTTAAATAGTATTATTTCAATATAATTTTTATAAAAAATAATATACTTTTACTAAAAAAATCGTACTCCGACTCCCGGCTCAAAATACTTTTTTACTAAAAATATCGTACTTCCCGACTACCGGCTCAAAATACTCAATTTACTACTTTTCATTGTTTCATTCAGAAATAACACTTTTAGTAAAAATAATCATAGAGCAAAATACCTTTTTAACTTTTATTTAAATTACGAATATACTATTACACATACAATTATTTTAAATATAAAATTAAAGAGTAAAAATATCAAAATATTTTACATACTTTCAGTGACCAATACAATATTATTTTTTAATATATTACAAAACCATAAAAAGTACATTCAAGAAGAATATACAATAAATAATACCCCCTCCGTCCCATGACAATAAAATATCTATTTACTATTTGTGTCATTGTATTTCACCTTAAAAATATCTTTATATTTGTATAATTTTTTGTACGAATGTCATTATATTAGTATTATAAGACAATAACAAAAATAATTTTAATATAATAATTAATATTTAAACATAAATAAATGAATACTTAGTTACTGAGACACGAGGGAGTATTAATCTGATTTTGAAGTAGAACCAAAATACATTTTTAAAGATACTGAGTTGACAATCATAATCACCATGAAACATGTACATAACAATTTTGAAAATCACTCTCATATCGAACAATGTAAATAGCCAAGCTTAGAAAGTACCTTTCAAATACGGGTCATCCCTATACTTGCTATACATCGGAAGTTCGAGCGCTTTCTCTGCGACATCTCGATCTTGGTGGATCTTCGCCACTAAGCTTTCGAGGGACGGGAAGTTAGTCTGTCGAGAGAGCGGGCACAAACACACACACATACATCAATTGTTTGTTAAGAAACAAAAGCAATGCTAAGCAAAACATCGATCGGATTAACTTTGGTCGTTTGACATACCTCGGGGCGTATATAGCCTACTATAGCAAGACGCAAATCTTTGCCGTAGAAATCCTCTTTAAAATCATGAAGCAACCATGGCTCCTATGAGTGCAGAAAATCAACGAATATAAATCAACTTAATTATAATAAATAGTTTGGTTAATTAAACAAAAAATGTAGCGAATCGCGCTCAGAAAAAAAAAAAATGTTGTTGATTTGAAGAAAGATGGAAATGAAGATTACTTACGATTGTCTTCTCGGTGTTGTTGAAGTAAGGGTTCCATCCGATGCTCATTACCATTTTATAAACGCCTTTAGCTGCTAATCCGGCCCATCCAAAATACACGCCAGAGGGATGCTCCGAAACAAGATCTGAATAATCCTCCGTGGACAAGTTAGCTGGAAAATGAGGAAAAACAACCATGTGAGAGACCAAACTATTATTCTAGTAAAAGTATATTATTCTCTTACAAAATATTACATCAAAATATTATTTAAACAAAATTTCAAAACCAAACACCCCCAAGTTTATATGAAAAGTTACAACTAATTAGCAACCACAGTAGACTTGAATAATCGACAAACCTGTGGGGATTCCAAGGACCTTCGATCCTCTACCAAAACCTTTAATGACCGGACCACCAATGTACCAAGGTTCTAAAGGTAAGGTACCTTCGATCCCTGTATACGAATGAAGCATATGAAATATAACAACATTCGATCTTGACGCTTAGTAGGCCTTTGATAGAAATCCTTCGAATGATGAAGAGAAGCTTACAGTCTTCAAATGGTGGTAAACCCCAATTTTCTAACCGCAAATCTAGCAGTGAATTGATCACCTCATCTGTATCGGTGAATAGGTGGGACTGTTTAGGCACTGATGGGACGGCAACCACTTCCATTCCTGCGGCCTTACCAGCACTTACACCTGGTCTACAGAACAACCAATTTTTTGTATTAAAACCTGTTTACGGTAGACAAGAAATGCACAAACAGAAAAGAAGAAAGAGCAACATTGTCAAGTCATAGCAACATTACAAATGCTGTTTGCTAGCAGATAATCGATTGTCAAACAGGGGCCGATACAATAAGATTATAAAAACTTGCAAAAAGCTTTGACACTCACAATGAATCTTCAATGACAAGACAATTGGAAGGATTCACCTCAAGCCTCTTAGCAGCTTCAATATATCTAAGAGAATGAAACATCAAATAATAATAATAAGTGTTCAATCGAGCTGCGTAGGAATCTGGATAAATCCCAAGTTTTAATTTAGTCCATCTTACATCTCAGGTGATGGCTTTGGATGGGCAACTTCATCGCCACCTATAATAACAGAGAAAGATTCTCTCCAACCTGAAAGTTACAAGTCGGTCAATGAGATACATGTTCAAGTGTAGACGAAAACAATAAGTTGGTTAAATTTATCTAATTAAATAGAATTTTATGTATAGGTACCATGATGGAAAGATATCTTTGTCTCAATATTTGCCTTAGAAGAATTTGAAACCAACGCTAAAGTCACGCCATGACCCCTTAAATGGTTAATTAACCTGTTCGCCCCTGGTTGAGCTTTGATATCGCACCATCTATTATTGCATCAGTGAAAATTAAGAACTGCAATCTTCGAAAACAAGAGATGAAGCCTACTATGTATAAACTCCATATATGGAAAATTGCATCACAAGACAGAGGAAAGCAATAAACATAATGTGACCGTGGATTACTTGTTCAAATGACGAAAAAAATAAATAAGAAAGGTAAATGGTATAATATCCACTTCTATTTTATTAAATGAATAAAGTACCCTATGCTTTATTTCTTCCGTGAAATTCACTCATATTATATTAAAGTAAGCACGAAACACCATCTTCATCCAAATGCTGAAGTTGTTCATAAAAACGTGTTTAATAATGCAAATGTTATAAAAATAAATTGGACAAAATGTCTTAAAACCATTTTATGAATAAAGTAAATAAAGAAAAAATTGATCAACCATTCATTGCACATTTTATAAAATTAAGTTACAACCGTCTTCATTTTACAAACTATGAAAATGAAGACTTGATCAATGTTTTTTTAGTCAAATAATTATTTGCATAATACTTGCATTATGATGTGTGTATTTACAAACACGTCAGCATTTGGATGGAAAGAGTCGCTTATGCTCACACTAATATAATATAATAGGATTTCACGCAATAAATAAATAAATATATTTTATGCATTTATAATAAAAACACATGTAGGAATTATGCAATTTACCCAAAAAAAAGTATTGAAATTATGCATTTCAGAATAAAACTAGCGATGAATAATTCAGTAAGCACACTTCGTTACATTCCTCTCTCCATTTTTTTCCCCTCTTTTTTGAGCCTTTCTGAAAAATAAATTTTAGGATCACATGCCCAGCCATGCTAATCAAATGCTTAAATGAAAGGCCAAAGTAGATGGCCGACGTGATTGGAGTTTTATTAAATAAAAAATAAGAGAGTACAACACAAGAAGAAGTAATCTTACTTGGTGGAGAGTATAGGATTAATATCCGATAGCAGTTCATCTGTAGTTAAGGGAAGCTCGTACTCTTCCACAAGAGTAGTTGCAGCTTCATAAGGTGTCTTTCCCACAATTTTATGAGCTATTTTCCCGTCCCATTGCTTTTTATACTTAACCAAGTAGCCTCTGACAACATCACTCACAATGCCATCTGATCTCAAAATTTAAAAATGAATAAAAATGGAGAAAGTACGTCATGGCATGAACGAGAAAACAAGCCAATGCAAGACAGAAAAATGATAAATCTCCCATGGAATACTCCTTGGTTGCTAAACCGATTCGAAAAGCTAATAATATATTATGCAAGATTCATCAAACGAATTTGATATACATTCCAACCATGTCCATGTTTCCCCCAATATATCGAATGCTAACCATTTAAAAGGAATAGCAAACAATAAAAAAGATGCACTCATTAAGTAGAAGCACAGTGGCAACAATCCATTATCGTAAAAGTTATAAGCAGCAGAATAAATAGCATCTAATTAAATGATAAAAACAAATCTAGTCCTTTAACATTTATATATGAAGTATATATTCATCTTGTAGCATAAATGTCTTCTAGATTGTAAACAGGCACATTCTCTTTTCGTTTCCTCAGCCAAAAATCGTAGAAACATTTTTTTAATAATTTATAACAGAAAAATGAGGAGAGGGGGTATAGAGAACCCTATGGGCCAACCTGTATTAAGAATAGTTCCATCCAAATCAAGGAGTACACATGAAACAAGCTTTCTAGGGGTCTTCGCCATTGATGTACCCATATCTGTAGCAGGCAAAGAAATGCTTATATTTCTGTAAACGAATTCCTCTCCAAATAACAAGGTTAAGCATGAAACAAATAATTGATATTACACTTTGTAAAAATGACTGACAGGGAGTCTCTGGTTAACTCCTTTTCAAAACCAACGATTCAGCAGTATTGTATAATCAATATAGAAGAACAAAAGCAAGAATATTAATTACCACTAAGATAAAGAAGACACAAAGAGAAAATTAATTTAAAAAAAGAAAAAGACCAACAACAACAACAACGCATCTACTAATTTGTAGCTACCATGTGACGACATTGTGTGACTAACACTATTAAATAATTAGAGATTGCTTGGTTTAAATGCCGATAAGCAGTTGAGTCAAAATTGCTTGAAATTAAGGAGCAAAAAGAACGCTGTTGACATTAAACCAAAGCATCTGCATTATCAACTCCTTCCCACACACATATATGTATTCTGATTTAAAGTTGATCATCAAGAACAAATATGGAATCATTTATCTGAAGTTCGAAATACAGAATCATTGCACGACAAGGGAACATAGAGACAATAAACAATAAAACAATCCGATCAAAAAAACAAACAATAACAAAAGTAAAGTTCTGCTCAAAGCATTCCTCAATAAGCACAAAGCAAATAAAGATGATCATTTGAAAAAAAGAACCGTAAAATCCAATACTTACCTGAGTCCAAACAGTCCATAAACCTTAGATTCAATTTTAAAACATGTGAATCCCATTTTCAATGTTTTTTTCTTTCAAAAGTGTGTTTTGTAAGTAATGCCAACAACATGAAAAAAATGTATCTAAAAGTTAAATTCACATTCAGCTTATCTTATACAAGTAATATGAAGAAATCCTCACTATCATCAACTGTTTCCACAATGACAAATTAAATTAGTCTATGAACACAAACATAACAGAGCAAAAAAGAAATCAATTACGACAATAAGAAATAAATCAAAATTTAAGCTAAACAACATCGGACCTAAATTAGTATACCTCACCAACAATAAAGCAAAAAAATAATCATCAAACGCGTTTCGAATTGAAATAATAAAGCAACAAACACCTTCCAAAATAAGTAGAAGATAAGGTCGATTAGATTGGATTGGATAAGCCTATGGTCGATTGGGTATCAAAGGGGCAAGACCCAAATCAAATATGAGGCTAGGAATTTATGATATCAAACAGGACGAGAAGTGAAGGTCGATGAAAACGAAGAGTAAAACGACATGGAAGCAAAGCCAGACTGCCTAAGAAGAGAATGTGCAACAAACTTGCCTAATCCGTTTCGAACCGCCGGTCAGATAACTATATTTAACCTGAGATTCCGGTTCATAAAAAATCGAACCGATTTTCTTACTGCCGGTCACTTCCATATATATGACAAATATTAAAGTAGAAGGAAAAATTAACTTTCTTAAAGAGAATCCTACAATATATATATTTTTCAAACACTACGGGTTTGGATTTAAATTTATTGAATAGCAAAAAGTGAATTTGAATAGTTGTTTGATTTGATATAAACATGAGGTTTGATATGATATTTTGAATGTAAAATAAATTTGTAGTATAATATTAAAAAAATATATATTATTATTTCATGTGATATTTTTTCATGAAAAAAATAATGTGAACAGTGAAAAAAAAAAAAAACCGGTGCTAAAATCCAAAAAGAACACAACCTACCATTTCAATAATAAAGTAGATATAATACTATCAAATATGCAAATGGCTCACAAAATTTGCAGCATTTCCAGATTGCAACAAAAATGCAGTAACAATTGGTTTTAAAATATATATATGACAAATCTTTGCGACTTTATGTAACCTAGCACAAAATCATCATGTCTTCTAATTTCACTAAAACTTCAATAACCAACAACACCCTCGTGAATAAGCAACAAAAGGCGCAGACGCACACACACCTTCAGGAAAAACACAGATAAATTAAATTAAAATAATAATAATAATAATAAAATAAAAAAATAGAGGATGGAAAGGAAGATGGTTGGAAGGTTATCAAGGTACAAGAAACTTGGAAAAACTCTTTTGAGGATCAAACTCTCACCTTCCATTGCCGTTTCGTGCTGCGCAGAGCTCGTTGAAGGAGGTTTTACCGGCGACGTTGTCGAAAACCTTCCCCACTTCCTCCTCCTTGGGCAACGGAATCTACACAGTTGCCTAAGGAGGAGGAAGTGGGGAAGGTTTTCGTCAACGTCGCCGGTAGGTTGTTACCGGAATCTACCTCCTTGGGCAATGGAAGGTTTTACCGGCGACGTTGTTTCTGACAGCCACCCTCACAAGTGGAATCATCAAACACTTTTTTTATTCCAAACACATAGATAGATATGCATGAGTAGGTAAAAGCACAAAAGGTTAAATATAAAGAAGACATATTGCTCAGCTGTGTATTTGAGCATTGTGGAGTATATTTATATATATCAATGCCATCAAATGTTAGTTGTGTAGTGTACCACTGATTATAAAAAATAAAGATTCTACTTGGAAAATTAGTTTGTTATGAACACCATTATAAAACAAATATCATATGATAGAACATCATTCATTTTTCCGATCACCATTTAAGTTTGGCAAAATTAGGTGTGTTTCTATTTTTTGTTCATTATTTATGAAAGTTGATGTTTTCAATTTCAAAGTGGTAAGCACATAAGGTATTCCAACAATTAATAAATAAGGAACTCGGAAAAGATTGCTTAGTCATTAAGCTAGCTGAATAAAAATCCAACAAACATGTTACATATACAAAATTTTCAGATAAGATAACCAAAGATCATAAAGACTGCCAACATCAAAAGTTTCCAATGATTAAGACTCAACAAGGCATGAGAATTAGGTAAGATATGATCTGTTGCATACATATGCTTCCCGAATTTATCATCAATTGATTAAGAATAGTAAAATTAGAGAGCTCTTGAGGAAGCTGACCGTTGAATTTGTCGTTGTTATTGTGGTTGCATGCATTATATTAAGAATTAATTAACCATATTAACAAATAATGAGCTAGAGCTAGGTAGTCTCATAAGTTACTATTTTAGAGGTGTTGTGTTTTTGTAATCTGTCTTGCCAGCAAAAATTCCTCAACTAGAATGTGTTCAATATAGGAAAGATGATAAACCTGTCTTGGCAGTAGCGATGGCGGCTAGCAAGCAGCGACGACTTCCTCTGTAGCACCCTCCTCAGGCGACGAATGGACGACTCGATAAAACGATTGGGGAAACTCTTTGATGGCTCAGTCTACAACCTCACCTCTCTTGCGGTGAATGACAAAGAACCTCAACCGCCTCCAAAAAAACTCCAAACCGACCGATCGAACCACCGAAAATCTCACTCTTAGTCGACACCCAAAAATGACCGGAACACTCAGAAACTCACTATGAGAAGACTTACCAGAGAAAATGATGAGAAGAACGGTTGAAACTTAACGCCAAGAAGAGAAACCCCAAAACCCATAAAGAATCGAACCGCGAAGAAGAAGAAGAAGAGAAGAAGAGAGAAATTGCACGGGCCGGTGTGTCGATTTGAGGAAGAAGGGTTATTATATGGAGCGGGATGCGGGTCTACAAGTTGGATCCGGGCTAAAAGGTTTGGATTGCGGGTTGGGCTCGGGTCGCGGGTCTTGGGTTGGGCCAAATTTCAACAAGTGGGCGTCTTCCTTTTGAAACTTTCGTGACTTGTCTCTAAATTAAGCACATACATATATAGATGAATAGAATAGAGAATAAAATACTTACAAATGCAGTACCCGTGGTAACCTTGAAAATGATGTGGAGATTGACCTGATATCTGAAACATGTTCAAATTGGGAATGTAGCCAAGGTCATCTAGCAAGAGTCTTGTTTCCACTGAGAAACTGTATGAACTACCAACTTCTGCTTCCACTTCTCATAACAACTACTGCACAATATGCATGGTCTTGAGTAGTAAAACAACTATTAATTAGTTATATTATCCATTGATTATGGTTTACATCATGTCAGGAACTCATTTAATGAACAATGAGAAGATTCAAATTGAAATGCAAATGAGATCTCATTCTCAGCATACAAGAGCTTAGGAGCAATAATTATGAATAAGGAACTATAGATAATGTAATCATTTAGATAAATTCTAAATAAACTAATCGTTTAGATATAATTAAAATATGTAATTAAATATACTGTATTTTGGAAGAAAATAAAATTCCAATAAAATAAATATACGGTATTTAATTATGCACATATGTTAATTTTGTACAATAAATATCAACTATTAATGCAAAAATCTGTTTAAAATGGAAGATATCGTACAAATATTACGTGCATAAATAGAGCCATAATAAATTTGGCAGCAAAATAAATCAATCTTGTCAATAAAAGAAGTATATAAATTAATATATTCCGAAAAAGTGCAATGATATAAAGATATTGGCGAGAAAGGAAGGTGCACAATCAAATCCATCAAGAACGGAAAAGAGCATATGATGGAAAATGAAAGATTATAAAATCTTTCTTGTGGCTAATCAGGACATGCCACGTGGCACCATTCAAAAAGGAAGCCAAGGCCACCCCTCCTCTATAAATAGGAGCCATGTCCAGTTCATTTGAGACACCGAAGTTGCATCGAGGATTCACGCAAAGGGGTAAGTCTCTAGACTCTCTCTGTATTGTTCTTCGTATCTTTCGAGGCGTTCTTCGTCGAAAGTCACTGATTTGGACAAATGATCCAATATTGGTTGACGAATCGATGGAGTTAACGTTCTTCGTCGTATAGCCGAGCCGGAGGAAGGATCAAAGCTCTCAAAGCCGTTGAGGAATTCGTCAAAGCTAAGGGAAGGTCTCCAAAGTTCCTCTCAAAGCTTCAAGATGTTCATTGTGTTCTTCAACAAAGCATCAACTAAGCCCTCTTCGATCCAAAAGTCAAAGGACACCCTGCCAAAAGTGTTATGGAGCACCAAATCCACCTCTTCAAGGATCAAAGTATTAAAAGCCGTTGAAGAATCCATCAAAGCAAAGGAAAAGCATCCAAAGTTCATCCCAAAGCTTCGAGGTGTTCATCACGTTCTTTATCAAAGTAACAACTCGGCCCTCTTCGATCCAAAAGTCAAAGGGACATGCCGCCAAAAGTGTTATGGAGCACCAAATCTACCTCCTCAATGATCAAAGCTGTGGATCGTCCAAAGAAGACATCAAATCCAAAGCCAATGACCAAATCGCGCACACGGAGATCAAAGCCCTCTGAATGGCCGCAAAGCTAAACCAAAGATCAAAGCCGCGGATCGTCCAAAGAAGACATCAAATCCAATGCCGACGATCAAATCACCCACACGGAGACCGAAGCTCTTCAAAAGGCGGAAAAAGCAAACCAAAGATCAAAGCCGCGGATCATCCAAAGAAGACATCAAATCCAAATCCGACGATCAAATCACACACACGGAGACCGAAGCTCTCCAAAAGACGGAAAAAGCAAATCAAAGATCAAAGCCGCGGATCGTCCAAAGAAAACATCAAATCCAAAGCCGATGATCAAACCGCCTACATGGAGACCAAAGCCCTCCAAAAGAGGTAAAGCCAAAGCAAAGATCAAAGTCGCGGATCGTCCAAAGAAGACACCAAATCCAAAGGAGATGATCAAATCGTCCACACGGAGACCAAAGCTTTCCAAAATGCGGTAAAACCAAACCAAAGATCAAAGCCACAGATCATCCAAAGAAGACATCAAATCCAAAGCCGATGATCAAATCGCCCACACGGAGACCGAAGCTCTTCAAAAGGAGGAAGAGGCAAACCAAAAATCGAAGTTGTGGATTGTCCAAAGAAGACATCAAATCCAAAGCTGATGGTCAAATTGCCAACATGGAGACCAAAGCCCTCCAAAAGGCGGCAAAACCAAATCAAAGATCAAAGCCTCAGATCGTAAAAAAAAAGATATCAAATCCAAAGCTGACGATCAAATTGTCTGCACGGAGACCAAAGCCTTCCAAAGTCCGGCATAATCAAACTAAAGACCAAATCTCTTCGGATCAAAGAAGCCATAGAAAACCAAGTTGGAAAATAAATAGACCTGGAAGGAGAATCAAATGACCAATTTAGATAATAGGACCCACTTTAAATTCAAATCAAATATAATTTGTACAAATTTGTGTTTATTAAAAATAACACAATTTTTTGTCCACAATGACTAAAGTACTATAAATTCTATAAAATTCGATCACGACTTATTGATTATCCAAACTTGTTGCCTAGCTCATTGAACCTTCTATTCGAGCTGTGTCAATTTTATTCTGCTGCTCTCTAACCGATGAAGATAAGCCTATGTTCCAGAAACCAAAAAAGAAAGTAGAAGATTGACACAACATAGTGTTATCAGATTGTAAACCATTTAGACTCTAAAAAACAAACAAATAATTCCAGAGTGAACAATACCATAAACCAAAACATTACAATCACACCATGCTACAAACAACAATAAAACTTAACTTAAAAAAGAGCTTAGTGTACAGGGATTGAATATTCACTCAATTAACTACCACGTTAAAGCTTAAAGGCTTATATTATTTCTTGGTGACCTCGTTCATTATCTTTTGAGCGGACTATTTTAATAGATACAATAAAAAGAGTAAAATGGTGTAGATGTTGTTCATCAATTATATGGACTTAATTGGATGCGTGCATTATCAAATGTTAACCAGATACTTAACCATAAAATAATGCAGACATATGATGCACATAATGAGTGTGTTACCTTTTTCTCAATAGAACTTTTTCTTGGAGATTTATGATTAAGAGCAAGTCTACGTGATATAATTTAAAAAATTAGGATGTTAAAAAAATCATATCTAATTTTAACAGTAGAAAAGATCTGCAATCCAACGGCAAGGACCTTTTGATTTCTTGATATATCACTAACATAAAAAATACTCTGTGCAATTGATTTATCTGAAATTGTAAAACAAGATATGCAAAATTTAAATCAATAAAAATATATGCTACTCACATTATAGGCACACCGATTCCACAATTTTATAAGGAACATAAACTGTAGAATTCTGACAACACAACAATCAGCAACATCAAAAAATTCAAGAGGAAACTGTTTGGATAGAGAGGTACTGGTGTGAAATGAATAACATAAAAAGTTCAGTTTCTAAGTGGACAAGCAATATTTGTAGCATGTAATTCATTATCTATATTGTGTCACCTACATGCCTTTATCTCATGACACAAAAATAGTAGGTAAAACAAATTTATGCATCTCACACTAAAAAAGGGCTAGTAGAATAGAACTACAGTAAATCTCATGTAATGATAATAAGTCATAATAAAAAGTTTCTATACTTTGATTACTCTTCCAGCAATCTCAAGCTAGACATTTAAATTCTTCGCGCTCTATGCATCTTCAAGGCATGATAATGATTAGTGTAAATAATATATAGGAACCTATAAAAAACAACAATGTTCTTATTTAGTGATGGGTGTAATATATAGAAAACTAAATTTCATTAGTACAAAATTATAACATTTTCAATGAATTGAGTTAATGGGCATCCCCAGTAGAACAGACTATTGTAATGTGAAATGTATTTTAGGGGAGTCACATACTATCTAACAAAAACAAAACAATAAGAATCCATTAATCCTGAACGAAGCATGTGATAATAATATAAACCAACCTGGGCATATCTTTTATTTAGAATCAAATAAATGACACCACTAAACTACCCCCAGCTGCCTTGTAATTGTTACTTTATTTTCTTACTTAAAAGAGTTTTCAAAAAGTTGAGCACATTGTTGATTGATTTTAGGTCTTATTAAATTAATTAATTTATTACCATAAATTGAACCAATTAAGATATATCATATGAATACCCTATAAAAGAACATTAGGATCATTAAAAGAAATGAGGCAAGGAAGCTAAAATATTTATGATAATTTAATATATTTTTTGACTCAGAATTGCTTGTCATATATAAATCTTCAACTTCAAGTTTGAATTCGCTTCAATAATGCCATGAGACAGCCCATCCAAACATATGGAATGCATAATTGTGTCCTATATCGGAACATAAAACCACCTAACATCCGGGGAAAAAAAAAAAGAAAAATTGACCTTAACATTGTGCTTTACCATAGTGTCTAGATATATATATATATGAAAAATAAAAATAAAAATCATATTTTTCATCAAATTTGTGCCACAGAATAATAGATACAAATTAATCAAGCATTTAAACAAATCTAGTTTACTTTCAATGACAACAACACAATTTTTTTATTTTTCGAATAAAGTAAGTTCTCCTTAATAAAAAAACAAAGTACCATAAACAAAGAAAAAAAAAGGATGGATCTTAACACCTTTGTTCTTATATAGTTCAAATACCTTAAAATACACTAAGAAAAGACCAAATAGATTCGCATGCACAACTTTAATAAAATAAAAAATAAAAAATATATTTTCATTGTAGAGAGTGGAAGCAAAACTGAACACTCGGTACAAAAATCAAGTATTTTACCCCCAATAATTATCCTGCGAGCCTCCTCTTGGTCCACGAT